TTACTAGCGCCTATTTTGCCGTTACTAGCGGAATATTGGGAAAGAGATTCAGCGGCTCCACAGCCCTGCTCTTTGCACACCATAGCGCTAGCCACTGTGCTCTCGCGTGGTAGAGTGACGTCACTTGTCGCTCGAACCACCTCGGTTTGGATGACCGGAGTTTCCATAGGGTTACCCTTTGACGGTTTATCTGCCGTTACCCGCGCCCCCGAGGGCGTGTGCGATCCAGTCGCCACGACCTCGGCCGGTCTAGGGTCTTGGGCTTTACTAACGTCAATACCCCCTCTCTCCGTGTTCACTCGACCGCCGCGTTCATCGTTGGCGCCACCAGGTGAGTTCTCGCTCTCGTTGCTCAACACGCTCACAACTATCGGCGCTGACTGCGTTGACGAAGGCCGCGAGATCTTGTTTACGGGGTTTGGTATAGGGGACGAAGGAGTGGGATCACCCCCACCTAACCACTCCTTTCCTCGTTTTCCTTATTGCATTGAGGACAGTACTTTCTGCTGTATCCCAGTAATCCACACTCGATGCATTTGAGTGGCTTGGAGAAGTCCCTGTCTCGTCTGTGAGGGGTCTCCGGCTTCTTAGGTCCTCGGAGGTCAGGTGTTTGCAGGCGTTATTTTTCTTTATCCCCTCCGATATCTCCTTGAGAGACAGCAGCACACTTGGCTCATTATATCGGTGGATGGGGCCTTCTTCTCGCCGTCGACCGCCTCCAGGCTCGGATTAGGTTTCGCCCCCGAGGGCGTCGGCGTGTAGACGACCTGGTACGTCACCTTCTTGAGTACCTTCTCCATGCGGTCCAATCTGTCATTGATCTCCGGTTTGTCGCCGGACATGGTTGCTACCTTGCCCTTACGGCCCTTGCTCGCGTAGGCGCGGGGGTGGTACGCTAACTCCGGGTACAGAGTTGACTGAGGGTTCGGTACCACCCGTTCTACCCTTCGCTGATGCAAGCTATTCTGGGCCGCCGTGGCCAGTACGTTCAGGGTCCGTATGGAGTCCACTTCCGACCTCCGTATTTGGCCCTGAATGTCCGGGAGAAGGTTGGCGTGCAGCAGGTCCAGTTGATTATCGTGCGTCATATTGGGGTTCAGCCGATTCACATCAGGCCCATCATATTAGCGACGTAGACGTTTACTGGTTCGTCTGAGCCCTGATATCGGCTCTGAACCTTTCTCATTAAACGCTGCTGTTGCTGCACGCTGGTCCCAAACCATGCTCTCGCGTCTGCCTCAAAATCCGCGTAGGAGAGCCATTCATCCCTCATTGCCTCGTACCATGTGAGGGCAGGACCGACGAGTAGCTCGGATACGGCTAGGAGCATCTCGTCTTCCGTGAGTCCTGCGCTACTCCTCGAGTTGTCCAGCCTAGACAGGAAGGTGTCAATAGTCGCATTGCCCTCTCCTGAAAACTTCAGTTTCCATCCTCGGACAATGCGACCGACGTCCCTTGTTGTCGACCACGGGTTTGATGTCTGTTGGGATGACCACGTGCTCGGCGGGTGGTTATCCACTTCAGCATTAACTCCATTGAGTTGATGCTGTCCACCCTCTCCGAAAGGGAGCGTCCGGCGGGGGGGTCCTGCCGGTGGCCTCCGTGGGCCTCTGTCCGGGTCCAGCTGGAGTGCTCTGGGGCAGCCTAGTCTCCTAATGTGACATCAACGTGTCCTGGAATGCTACGCTCCTACGCGTGTTCTCCTGTTGCAGTGCTTCGTGGGAACTATTCGCATTGTCTTGCCGTATATTCCTGTTTTCGGCGTTTTCTAATGCGTTCATCCTGGCAGACAGGTCATTTAGTAGGTCCTTTACATTGTAGCAGTTGCTGTAAATCTCGTCTAACACTTTTGTTAGGCTCGACACATTTACGCTCAGTGCGCCTAGCAGTTCTAGTTTCTTCTCATTTTCTCTGGACCGGAAAATCAGGTCTTGGATCATCACCGCGAATGCCGGCGGGAGTTTGAACTGGCTGCCATTATCAGCCGTTATAGTAATACAATTATTACTGTTTGTCTTCTCGCCGTTGTCCAGGACATTCGCGATGTTTATAGCGGTTTTCTGTACTCGCGATATTACTTCCGCGCTCTGCATCAGCTGGGCTAGCGGGTGTTCTCCCTCTTGCTCGGATGCTGTATGTTCCGCAAATAGGGATACTATTAGGTCCGAGCGTAAGGCTACCCTTTTTGCCGGATTGCTGGGCCGGTTGTTGACTTCCGCGAAATCCATCGCGGAGTAGTCTCCAAGCAACCAGCTTTGCAGACGTCCAGCTCTCGAGAGCTTGGTCCCGTTTGTTTTGAGCTCCAGGTGTTCGAGGTACTCATCGATTTCCTCCTCCTGGAGCGTCAACAACCAGTTTTCTATTTCTGTTTGAGTGCGGTCCATTTTTCTCTGTTAGTTGTCTTGCGGCTTGTTTCATGCGAAATTTACACGCTTGTTACGCGTGGTGCGAATGCGAGTGCTGTACTAAAAATCGGACGTAAGTAAAAAATTTTATTAGCCGACAGTAGGCTCAATCAAGGGCGTTTAACAACGTATTTGCCGAAAAACTCTTCGCTCGTTATTACGCAATATAATGATCCTGCCTATCAGACGCACTAACTGTTTGTTAGCGCGGCTGTTTTGGTTAGTATCTAAAATATTTTAACGAGCGTTGCGAGTAGTCACCAATAGCCGCAGCTAATAATATTGAAAAACATTTACTTTGAGACAACACGGTATCAAATAAAATTCTCAATTTGAGTTAATTTTGTTTGAAAGTTGCCGGTGTTAGCTTTCCCCGGGCCAGCGGATACAATATTATTGATTTGCGGCAACTTTCAAAATTTATTGGTGTTTACGCTTCTAAGAATCGTTCGGTCGCACTCGCACGCGCTTACAGTTATTATTTACAATTTTACGCCACGACGGGCCTTCGCAAGCTAACTAACAGGCTATGTTTACTATTTTGGCTCTCAATATCAAGTGTGCACAACAACACTTGATTGCCACCTAAGTCGCTGGTTGACTGAGCGCAAGGTCACTATTAAGAACCGGTATTTTGAACAATCAGAAACACCGTAGGTTCTTTTGCGTTGGGCGCCATGTAACGGGGTAGTCACCGTTTAATTATTTTCTATTCGCGCAATCGTATTGAAGAGCGCTCGTAATTATCTATGTTTAATACGGGAGTCGGAGAGCAAGGGGAAACAGGTGTCAGTCAACCAACTAACTACAAATACGAAAAGAACGCTCCGAAATTACTGTAAATATCATGTACGAAAACTTTTATTATCTTTCAAATGCTACATTAGAAACGGCCCGCGTGTTTATGTTTACATCGGCGCTCGCTCGACAACGACATGCAGTGTCGGGACGCTCGCTGCTCTTTATCTGTAGAGCTATTACATGCACGTTTCGCTTCGAGTGATTAGTTGAGTAACAATTGAATCGCGACCGCGAAATTAAGCTGGACAGCTTACCTTTATTTAGCAGACGTACGGAGGCGAGAAATATGATTCGCACGCTCACTGCGGGAAAAGTCTATTTTTCGTTACTCGCGGGTAGCGAACGCGCTCACACGTGGTTTCGCCCTCGATGGCGAAACACCTCGCTCGCCGACGTTCGGCCTCACAGGCAATGGCACCGCTTCTACTGGCTCAGGTCAGCACTCCGGACAACTCGGTAACAGCGGTCACTGGCGTCGTAATCACGGGCGAACGTGATGATGGTTAGTCCCTCACTGGTTCATTTTCAATCGCGCGCGTTCCGTCTGCTCGCGTGCCGAATTCCGTCATTACATTTTTCGTCTGCCGGCAAGTGCTGCCCCCGCAGACAGCAATTAGGTTAGAAAATTAGCGCTAATATGACGTTTACCGTCACAATATTTATATATGTAGTTACACTTCTGTTCTGATATAAGGTAAGTGAGGTGAGAGAGAGATGCGAATACGCAGGGATACTTCCGTGCGCGACAGCAAGGCACGGAGAGAAAGAGAGAGAAACATAGTCGCGCCTTAGCAAGTGACCGCGCGCACTGATTGGCTCATTAAACGGAATCACGTAGTTGAGCCCATGGCGCGAGCAGTAGCTGTTTAGGCACGCGAGTGAGTAGACAGAGTCTTTTCGGACAGAAAATTTTTCGACTGCCTTTTTCTGTTAGACCTTGGCTGTGTCCTGCTGCCCTTTTTCTTCGCCCCTGAAGTGTGTGTCTCCATTGAGGAAGGAATTGCGACGTCGCCTGTCTCTGCGGACGATTCGGACAAGTGGGCTTCGGCCGGTGGTATGGAGAATCGGTCTGCCGTTGTGCTAGGGACCTCTACTGAAAGAGACAAAGTTGCGCGGTGCACGCGTCAACGCAAACAGTAAAAGTCGTCGGCGTACCTAGAGTTTAGGCACCTGCATTGAAAGTACCGGCTTTATGATTTGCTCTCTCTCTCTCTGTCTCTCTCTATTCGTTCACTCAGCGTGCTCTCTCTCTCCTTCCGACCGTCTGTGTTTACTTTTTCGTGATTAAAGATTCCTTTTTTTGTAAACGTTTCAACGTAATTGTATCCCGCTGCTTTATTCGAACACCCTACCTTCTCGCGCCGACAACCGCTTTCAAATTTCCGACTTTCGCGCTCCTTAGCCAACACTACGAACCTGCGCTGATCCGGCCGTCCTGTCACCGGCGTGATGAGCACCTGAGAGGACGACTACGTCCAGGAAGTTTTAGACTTCGTTTGTTCGATCATTTCCTATTTATTATTTTTTTTATATTCACGAGGTAAACTGGGCTAAATCCCTGTTATAATATAACAAAAATTAAAGATGCACGCTTTACATTTTTGTTATTGAGAGATAAGATGATATTCGAGATATATAAAAATTAGCAGTTCCTTACATTTTTAACGAAATAGATTTTTCTATAATATATCGGTGCATGCATACTTAGTAATCTTAAAAATGTAGAGAACGTAAAATAGTTATAAGAAAGATAACATTAATTATACGACTTATAATATACTAAAAATAACTTACTTGGCTAGCCTGGCATATTTTTGAATGGATTCAGGTCCGACCAGAAAAGCTGCCTCAGCGACTTCTGCAAAACCAAGACTAGGTGTCTGCGTCCGCTTACATAATATATGCGCACATTTGACTAAAATATGTACACAATATGTGCAGACTGCTCCAATAAAAAAAGTAGCAAAAAGTCCAAAATATAGACCGGAACTCTTAAAAGCGATCGGCATAGCAAGAATGCCAGATCCCAGACTTCCCTTAAGCAGATGTATTAATGTATCCAAATCGCTGGTAGGATGAGCGAGCTTGCGGTGTTCGAATGGATCATATAGAGCCGCTTCTTCATCATTTGGTCGTTCAACCAATGGCAAAGTTGATCCATTTGCAATTGTTATTGGTACTTCATTTTTTTCACACTTATATCTGTAATTTTAAATCATACTGTTAAACGGGTTTTATAAATTTAATTAAATATTAAAACAACAGAATTATGACTAGAATAAGATTTTTATAAACATAAATTTATATATTAATGTCTTTTTGAGAATTTCGAGGATCTCCAACCCATTAGATTTGTTGGAGCAAAGCTATAACCATCAAAGTTTCGAAAACAAAGTTTATTTTGTACGTCAATATCCAACAATAAATTCCTGTCATAATTGTTTTGATTTTCCAATGATATTATAACCTTTCTAGTATATTACTCCGTCTATATGCACACTTTAGTACTCTAGTTGTTTGTTTATTTGAAAGTGCAAGATTTTTCGTGACATAAATGCTCACAATAATTTTTATTTTATTAATAGGACTATTTTATTGGAAGATAAAAAAAGAGAAATACTGAATGAAATAATGTAAGTACGTAACTCTTAATAAAATTCATGTTCCTTCCGAACTACTCGAGTCTATTTTTTCAACGGATAATCATGCTGCACTCTATTACTATCGCTGTTCTGCTACTTTTTTATGTACTCTCTTTTTATTTCACATTCGCCATAACTATTGTTTCTCTCTTTCTCTCTCTCTCTTTTTCTCTCTCTTCGTTCAGTAGGATATCACAAGCTCCGTTAATTTTGTACTATAACGAATATACAAACGATTCGTTATATCTCTCTCTCCCCAAGAAGCCAGTAACTAATATATTTAATAATCATTATAAATTACCATATTGTTTGAATAGTTACAGCATTACGGACGTCAGCGAACTGGTAAGCGACGTGACTTGCGTACGATAATCGATATCGACTCGCGGCGCGGACCTCGCGGAGAGACGCTTCCTTGCGAGGAGAGAGAGAGAGTTTCGAAAATTGATATAGTCCGCTTTCGACGATCGACGGGTTAACGTTCCTCGCGCGAGTCGTCAGGAGCATTCTTCGACTTCCTTCTGGCGAGCCGAGGCCTACCGCGGACATCCAGCCTTACACGCGCCTACGTACGCTGCATACAAAAGAAGAGAGGCGTTATTGCGAGTCAGCCGACCAGCGGAAGTGAATACGCAGCAGAAGCGAGCCCGCTATCGTGTGCCCTCGGTTTGCGGGTTAGAGTAGGCGTACAAGCGGCTATACTGTAAGTACCAGATCTAGTACCTGGCTTCTCTCTCTATACCGCTCTCTCCCTTTTTGCGTTAACTAAGCCGCGCATTTACGCTCGCCTTTTCTTTGTACACGTTGCGCCGCGGCCACGGTTGGTACCGGCAATTCCTCTCTCTCCGCGAACGTGCTGTCGCTTCTATATATTCGTCGTACCCGAAACGAATAAGTGCGGTTTGCCGTTCGCGAACACCCGGCTCCTGCGAGGCGATTTCGCTGTTACTTGCTTCGACGAGGTTAAACGCTGTCGCTTCCTCGTTCGAACGGTGCGCGCCGGTTCGCTGTCGCCATTGTGCACAACTCACAACAGAGCGAGTGCTTGCGCGACCTTAACCGCGTAGCGCGTGTGCAGTTCCGTTCGCTTCACTGTCAAACTATTGCGAGTTGTTGCGTTGCGATTAACATTGTTTATATCGACGCGTTTCGATACTATGTATTCCTTTGTTGCTAATTAAAATTTATACGCCTCTACTTTTAATTATATTCGAGTGCTTATTGTCCGCCGACTCCCTGTTCCTTGAATTGCAATTGTGTATGCGACTGTACACGCGCGAATCTCTCTCTTTGGCCGTCGCGCATCTTCACGCGTAGCCTACGACACTCTCCGCGGGCCAAGCTTTCTGACCGAAAAGGAGGCAACTGAGCTGCTGGACCCAGGACACCCGGTGCAGGAGCACCGTGCTGCTCTGGAGAGCAACCTAATTTATTTCCCGCGACTTATATATTATATAACTGTTCCTGTCCAGGCGAAGCTGAGCAGAAACCCCGTTATAGTACCAAAAGTAATAAAAAAATTAATTGTATTAAGTAATGTATAATAAATTAATTTTATTAAGTTTGAAAAATTAATAAAAAAATATATACCAGCGTATAGGTTTAACAATGCTCTTTATTTGTAAATAATTATGTCTTCGTAAATAATTTTCTCCTCACCGTTTGAAAGTAGTTAAATTAAATTACAAGAACTAATAGCTGTATAAAATTATTTTATTATATCTCTAATCTAAAAGTAAACAAAATTTGCCTATGTTAATTGAATGATTTTGATTTTATTTTTAAAATGGTATCATCACATTTTAATTATTTGCTTTAAGAACATTGTCATAGTTAATTTTTCAATATTTTCCATAATAACATTTATAGATACAGATGCATAAACATATATATCCATGCGCTATAGTTATTTTTAGGTTGATGGTCATACAATTCAATCATATGAAAAGATTGAAAGGAATTACTATGGCATATTTTTCAGTTAATGCTATATACCAGTATCTATAAAATTTATTATGGAAAATATTGAAAAATTAATTTTAACAATGTTTTCATAGATAACTGAAAAGTGATACTAACCAAAAGAGAAAATTAAGAGCATTCGATTGGTATAGAGAATTTTTTTACTTTTGGTTTAGATGAGAAAAAAAATCTTATAACGCTACCAGCAGTCGTAATTTACTTTCAGATTATAACGAGTGTGATCGCTACTCGTTATGTCTCTTTCTCCGGCCTTAATTCGCATTATTATGTATCCATACGAATTGTATTCCTAGTAAACCTTTTTCTCAACAGCTGGCGCGCTAGATAAGTGAAGGAGCTGGCGAGAGAGAGAGAGAGTGAGAGAGAGAGACACGCGCAAGTTTTCCTCACGTGCGCGAGCAGCGAGAGAGGCATTTTCTCAACGAGTGTGAGAGAGAAGTGCGACGTGGAGAAAGTCGTTTGTTTTTCTGCCGAACCTTTTTGTTCTTTTATGGCACCGCGCGTACTAGCCCTTTTGCCGCCGGCCTTATTCACCTTCTTACGGGCGGACCTGGGGATGGCAGCATTTCCCAGTGGTGGACGTCAGGAGATTCCCGGCGGGAGTGTGTGTGTTGCGCTGCACATGCATTTTGCCGTCCGGTCTTATGTTATCTCTTCGATGGCGACGCAGAAATCTCGGCGTGCTTCCATCGCGACGGACGTTGAGCCATCTTGTGCGGGTGTGTGTGCTACGCCACATGTGTAGGCATTAAGATATCCGGCCCCATTGCACCAAGGGAGAATCTCTAACCCCGGAGGGGTTGATGATACAGCGTTGGCTGAGCGAGCTAAAGTTTTTACTGTTGTATGTGAAGCCGTGGAATCAATTTTGCTCAACTCAATTGTTTTATTTTATTTTTTTACGCAGCCAATTCAATTTTTTCTGGTAATGAGATGAGTAGTCACATCAACATCGATTTACAATAAATTAAGAATAAAATCTGCCATACTTAATTTTTTCACCTACGAAAAAAATAACGTGCTAAGACATATTACCTAGTAATAAATGTATTCTCGATTAAACCATTTACAATCCAAATAAAATATATACTCAATAAATGTCACATAGTTTTAGATTTACCAATAATCTATCTGTAGATCAATTGTTTAAATAATCCCGGCTGATGAAAGAAGTGCTGTAATGATTTGTTTCGTTTCAGCCAGCAATTTCGCAATCTATTTTTCGTATGTAGGAAAAAGCGGTTTTTTAAGAAAAATAAATACTAATCTTATATTATATTAAGGAGAAAGGCAAAAACTTTCCTCCTTTTCTCCGGTACTTCAGGTTTTTCCGTGGATATCACACAAGTATCATAATTTTTTTATACTATATAAATAATCGGCAATAAATAATTTGTCAGTCGACTTCCACCAGGTGTTAATCCTCGTAGACGATGTCACGTCAACCTGAAGGTTACACCGAAACCTGGACATCGTCTCCTGGAATAATTTAGTTTTTCTTCATAATTTCGACTTGCACCTTATTAAATTTATTTATGATATATTAATAAATTAGTAGATTAGGCATTGCCATATTATCTTAATATTAGAATTGATCATAAAAGATTGATGGTGATGTTATGAACCCTTAAAAAAATTTATTAAGATATTTATTTAATGATCTTGTTAGCATTAAATTTTTCAGTCTGAAAGGATTATTCGTGAATGTATGTGTAGTTTATGAAAGGATATGAAATAATGAATGCGTAGTTTAGGCCAATATGATCGATATACGAGGTCTGTCCGGAAAGTATCGGGCCTACCTTTATATTTTCGTGCTAGCGTTATTCTTTATCATCTGGTGGCTGGCATCCTTCAAAGTAATCCCCACTTGACTGAATAACACAGTTCCATCGATGTTTCCACTTTTCAAAACAGTCCTGGAACTCACTTTTAGGGATAGCCTTAAGTACACTCGTCGCATTGTTTTCAACCGTTGTTTTGTCATCGAATCGGTGTCCTTTGAGTGGTTTTTTTAGTTTTGGAAACAGCCAAAAGTCACAAGGGGCTATGTCGGGACTGTATGAAGGTTGTCGAAGCAATGCGATATTGTGTTTGCTCAAAAACTGCTGCACAAGATTGGATGAATGCGTTGGCGCATTATCGTGATGGAGAAGCCAGTCACCACTTTCCCAAAAGTGCGGTCGTTTTCTTCTTACTGCATCACGCAAACGTTTCAAAATTAGAACGTAGTATTCTTTATTGATTGTCTGACCTGTTAGTGCATATTCGTGATGTACAACACCTTCACAATCGAAAAAAACAATCAACATTGACTTAACATTGCTCCGACTTTGACGTGCTTTTTTTGGTCTTGGCGATTCAGAATGATTCCACTGTGAAGATTGTTGTTTTGTTTCAGGATCATAACCATAAACCCATGATTCATCACCTGTAATAAATTTTCTAAGCACATTATCATCATTATTGACCATTTCCAGATTGTCCAGAGCGATTTCTAAGCGAATGTTCTTCTGCTCTGCTGTGAGCAATTTTGGGATGAATTTCGCACACACGCATTTTATTCCTAAATTTTCG